TAAAATAAACCTCTGTCAGGTAGGATGTGGGATGAGTCTAGACTCCTGTCTGTTCTGTGTAGGTCCGCCACGGCTGTGATGCAACTTGTTGGAGCTCGGGGCCGTCAGGCTGCCAGCAGACCCTCCTGCACAGAGCTGTTGATGAGAACAACGAGGTCTCGGCCTGCTTCCTTATCCGCAGGTCAGCTACGTCTCTGTTGTTGTACATATTTACCAAAGCTATAAATCGTTTGCTTGTTTAAATGCAGCAAGTGTCTGAATGTCGCTTATATCTGATTGGCTTCAATTTAAAAGAGTCAACACGTTAGCAGCGGTCTTTACCAAAACATTACTGAGATGTTTTAGAAAGTTAAACAGGTGATGTGTGTGTGTGTGTAGTGGTTGTGACGTGAACAGCCCCAGGCGGCCTGGCCCTAATGGGGAGGGAGATGAAGAAGCCCGAGATGGACAAACTCCCCTCCACCTGGCAAGCAACTGGGGACTGGAGGATGTGGTGCAGTGCCTTCTTGAGTTTGGAGCCAATGTTAATGCACAGGTTGGACCTGCATGACATCTTTACCCTGGTTTAAACTGCACCACTAATCTTTGTTGGGGGGGTTTATGACGCGATCCAGATTTTTAGAAAATGTCATTGAAACACGACACAACAGATTCAGAGCAGCCAAAAAAACTGAACTGAAACTGCTGGCAGAGGATAACAAAGGCAGAACAATTCAAAGAGATGCTCAAAGTTTGCTGGCATGTTTTTGAGGGGGAACCTTAAACCTGTACCTGTGCAGTTACTGATGCATGAGATTATCTGTGGACAAAGAGAAAACTCATCAAGCCTTGGTGTGTGTAACTGTGTGCTGTCTGTTAATGCTGTGTGTGTTTTTCTGTCAGGATTCAGAGGGCAGAACTCCCATCCATGCTGCTATTAGCAACCAGCACAATGTCATTATACAGCTCCTCATTTCCCATCCAGACATTCGTCTCAACATTCGCGACCGTCAGGGAATGACCCCCTTTGCCTGCGCCATGACGCACAAGAACAATAAAGCGGCAGAGGCTATTCTCAAGAGGGAGCCAGGTGCTGCCGAACAGGTAGGCGCCAGTTTGTTGCTGTAGCGTTAATGAGTGTTGCAGTAATGACCAAACGTGTGCTTGTGTCCAGGTGGACAACAAAGGGCGCAACTTTCTCCACGTGGCTGTGCAGAATTCAGACATTGAAAGTGTCCTGTTCCTAATCAGCGTCCAAGCTAACGTCAACTCCAGAGTTCAGGACGCGGCCAAGCTCACCCCGCTGCACCTGGCTGTGCAGGCTGGATCTGAGATCATCGTCCGCAACCTGGTAAGAAACCAAGATTTTCTCCTGTAGGAGTTCATGCCAGTTTGAGTTGTAATGAGAAAAACACTGCGATGGATACGATTTTTATTTTCGGGGTTTCTCCTTCCAGCTGCTTGCTGGTGCTAAAGTGAACGAGCTGACTAAACACAGACAGACAGCGCTACATTTGGCTGCTCAGCAGGACCTGGCCACCATCTGCTCCGTGCTGCTGGAGAACGGAGTAGATTTCGCCGCCGAGGACGAGAATGGCAATAATGGTACTTTACAGTATTTGTCTTGTTTTCACTGAAATGACTCTGAGATGGGCAAAGATTACATCATGACTCGACTCTATGAATTCTTTCTGATAAGATCAGAGCTGTCATTATAAATGCAGATATATCTGTACGTGATAAGTCCTGTTTCTGAGGTGTTGCATCGTGTTGGTAGATTTAATTACAACAGACTGCTGCAAACTGGAGTTTCCTGCTCTGTTCACCTTTAAAACTAGACTGACTGTGGGATCTGGTGTCAGACGTTACTATTCAGGGCTCGCAAAATTTCAAAATCCCTGGTAGCCCTTCGGGCAGGGACTCTTCAGTTTTTGGTAGCCCAAAATAAATTTAAGTAGCCCGAATAAAAAAGAGCAATTTTTTTTTTGATTGATGTTAATCAAAAAATTGTTGAAACACAAATTACAACATTGGATAAAAATTACAATCATCAACTCAAATACTTGGTTCTAATTAAACAGAAATTTCTATGAACTTGTCAGAACTGTGAACATGAATCAGTCTGTGTCAGATCCTCAATCTGAAATCTCCACTGAAGTCACGAGTTTTTGAAGTTTGCAAAGACTGCTACATTGTGCCAGTGGTAGTTCACTCTTTGCAACATAGTAGCTGTTCTAAGCAGATCTTTCAGGTTTATCTTTAGTTTGTTATTTGCAATTGCTGTTTGTTCTGGGAAAGATATTGCAGACTGAGCAATAATGCATTTCTTGCATTTCTCATGGGTTCTAATGGGGGCCTTTCTTAAAATGACTGGTCCCAGTAACAAAGGCGCTTGTCGACTCAGAAACAGAACATTATGTTATTTACACGAGTGCACATAAGTGGTCCGCAGGTGCGCATTTGCTGTCAAAATAAAAGACGCGCACCAGATAAGAAGTTGCA